GTCAAGTCAGACCCAGAAGCACAAGTAATTATGCACATGGATGCCAGAATAACTTCATTTAAGTCAGATAACGTCAAACCAGTAAACGGCAAGCATGGTCTTCAAACAGATGTAGGGTAAAATAGGATAAATAAATCTAGGCCATACACAGACTCATGTGACTAACTTGATGAACCTTTTCTTTCGAGTAATATAATGATATTTATGTGCACAATAATTGGTCATGAACACATGTGGGTTTCCATTAAGAACGTTTTGTGCAAATTTTTTAGCTTTGATCTATACATAATATATTCGTATATTAAATGACGAATGGTCCCCCAATTCACCCCAACTAACACGGAAATTTAGGAAAGTAATAATCCAAACGGCAAAGACAACTGTCCAAGACAATGCTCCAATTAAACTGAAAGTGACGTCTACAAATGAAGTTTTAGTAAAAAATTTCAGTACATTTCCTAATCAGCTTAGACTCTGGATATGCCTGTGGGGCATACAACTCGTTTGGAAGACAAAAAACGCCAATCTGTAGTGGCATTGGGCCATAACCACAAAATCCTGAAAGCCGAACACGAGATTACTCGGAACATAAACATTCAATATTTAACGCGGAGAAATACCTAACGATGGAGAGGGCGGGAACAATGAATTGAATTGATTGTAGATGATCGGATGGCATGCAGGCGTGGTCCCTGCTGAATGTTACCCTATATCTTTTATTTATATTAAATATGTTGTTCTATTTTTTGCCTAAGCTTGTTCTCCATCATGTATTGGTAATTGTTACGATGCAGTGAGCTGATGTAGACGATGATGTGACTTCCACGAAAGATGATTGATAAAGACGCGGAAAGTTTAGGATTATGTGTGGTTTCAAAATTTATTAAAGAAAATACAGTGTCCGAAAACCAACTGGCTTTTTTTCTTCATACCAATTATAACACGTTTTTATTGCTATAACTTTTTTGAGTCATGGGTGGACTCATATATGGCGTAATTGTCCTGTCTTGCTTGCAATGGGATTTCTCGGTAGGAAGTGAAACCAATTCAGAGTTACAGACACGAATCAAAGAGGCTTTTGGCATCAGAGATTGACATCAGTATCATTACTTTATGACATCCCTCCTGACCATAAGCAGCAGTAATCTAACAAAGCATTCTGCCCCACAGATATGCTGGTCAGCAACGCCACACTCCCTACTTTTGTGTTGTCAGGCTCTCTTACGTTTGCGGTGTGTATGAATACTGGTTTGATCTAAGCTATGTTGCACAGTTTGTTGGAAGACACTTTCGCTACTAGATCCATGTTACATGAAAACCAGATGACTAAGGCATTTTTATTGTCAGCAAAACACCTGTTTGTTATGTCACAGTGCTTTTGAGATAACTAATGGTATATGCTATAAGATGCTGGTCAGATGATATGTGGCTTAGAGATGATAAGGACAAATGTCTGATCAAAGAATATGGAAGAGGGGTTTACGGCTGAAAAATTTCAAAGTAAGATGATAAGTCGGAAAAAACAATGTTTATATACTAGTACTTTCTCAACTTTTCATTGGTCAACAGAACGCAGACAACTAATTATAATTGGGCGGTATTCCAGTAGAAGACAGCATCACTCGACAGAAACTTTAACCAACTTCGTAAGCAAGACTCTTATCTCGAAACTCATAAATAAGTTGGATGACAATCTTTGTGACGGAAGATTAGAACGACAAGAAAAATTGAAAGCAAAACAAGAATAGCACTTGACAATATCTGTTGAGCCTATACTAACCCTTAGCTGCAAACAGAAAAAACAACGTTATGGCGGCCGTGGTAGGCTTTTGGAACAATTAGAGCAAAAGGTTCGAATTTAAACACACGAACCTGTAGTGGTATTGGTTCTTATCCTCACGACCCTTAGAGCCGAACATATGACAGCTGAGAAAATCCACACCCAACATTTAACATGTAGAGGTCAGAGATGTTAAACATCGAAATACTTAATCGGCATGGCAAGGTCAAGTCACGCAGATATGGTCACTCTATGTGACTTCCTTTTAATACTTAATATATTATGATATCTCCAGCCCAAATGAGGCCTTTAGATGTGCTAGAAACCATACTGCTGACAGCAACAATAGGGCGAGTCAGCATATGCAATAATGTGACTTCCACGTAGGATCTTATGAATTAGGTAATCACATCATAGCTCATCTACAATGTTGGAACTATGGCTATTATTCGAGTAACATAGATTAGTTAACTTGACATAAAATTAGACCATATTTCTACAGTTGAACCCGATTGAGTTGATACCAAACTCCCAGTAGATTCAATATGACTGTCCAGACTGTCTGGATGGTAGTGATCTGCACTGTGAACTGGACTTAAGTCATTGTGGTGACTTGCTCCGGTTTCTGTGGTCTCTGCATTCCGACAACGGCCTCCGACAGACTTTAAGTTCTGTTATAAGTGCATCGTTCAGTGATTTTTCTTTTCTTATGAGGCATATCATATGTAATTCGTTTGGGAGGTTCTCTCCATAATCCTACCTGCTACACATACTAATCGAGGTAAAGAAGTGCTTGCGTCTTGTGCATCCAGATGGTGTTACACGTTGCATGGGGGAGTTTGTGTCCATCCTTGTTTCAGGTCTGTTTCATCAAAGGTGTTGTCATCAAGTTATACATGGAGGTGAAAAAAGAACTGGGATGATGACTCGTCACCTAGTTTCTCTTTTTAGAAAAGCCCTTGGATTATTTGGCTGTATTATAAAGATAAGAGGTCCGCTGTCTCGCCTTTGAAAATGGTTTACGGTCATGATGTAGAGAAATTCAAATTGATTTACTGACTTCTTTTTCAGAGAAAAAAAGGGAGTACGGAGCATAGATCTCAGTGTCAAATTCCCTCAGATTTGATGCTGGGCTCCGTGAAGTGGCATTTCAACTGAGTAAATCTAGACTCAGAAGAACTACGATTAAATCCTGGGAGAGAGGATGTATTCATAACAGTATCTATCTCCACAGGTTATGGTTAGTTTCCTGGTTCTCACGTTGTACTGGGTTTAACAGTTAACGCTATCGAAATAATATCTTGCTTACTTACCCGCTTACGCCTGTTAGCAACTAATACCTTAAAGGAATATAAATATTGAAAAAATAGATTTGATATTTAAAATACGATATACAAAATACCTTAAACTTTAATCAAAAGGAGACAACAACTTTGATTTGCCAGAAGGCTAAGTCGTTATTGAACATATACATAGATAATCTTTTCGTCTTCGAAACAAGGACTTGTCAATTGTAGAACCTGTTTTCATGATGGTGGTAAGTCTTTACTGCACGAGCAAGAGGTCTTAATTTAAACAGACAAACGTTTTAACGCTCAATATCGAATGACAGGAGGTATCATGTTCACATTATATACGGTAGTAGTGAGTGCTTTGGCAATAATGTAATAATCTTGATAAGAGATTTTTGTTTAACAAACTCTGTCCAGACGATCAAAGGCTTTTCCTGACCTCACGATTTAGTGAAGAAGGTGAGGTATAGGTTGAGCAGTCTCCAACGATGTCTCAAACTTTATGAAGCTGAACAAGGAGTTGATGAATACAACCTTTCAACTGTTTGTTTGATAAAGATAATGAGGTTAAGGTTGTATCCAATAATGAGCCAGAGTTGGTTGACCGTTTTAGAGTCAAAAGTCTTATTTTGTGATATATTTACAATTGACAGACAATCTCTTGTGTCAAAAGGATGTGGTCTTTAGTGCAACATGGATTGATGCCGGTATGTTTATAGGCGTCTGCGTAACTCCCTAACTTCAGTTAACTCTCGATTGCAGTTTGGCGTAATAAGAGTGATTTATGCTTTAAATATACCTCAGCCTCGTGAGATTTTTCTTGGATATATGAACGTACAATCACGTACCCTACAGCAGACATATCGAGGTTGAAACCGAAGCACATGCTGAGTCTTCATTTGAGGAAGACAAGAGATAGTGTAATCACCATAAATTTTGGGTGTGGTTTTTCGCTGTTGAGATACCCATTACGAAGAAGACATATTTTTGTATATATTCCTCCGTTTTGAGGTTAAGGGATTTACTTATGGGTATGGGCTAGTACTAAAACACATAACGGGTCTTCTGGGATGACGAAAATTGTATCATCATGCATTAAGATCACGTACATTTTTATCCGTACGTACTGCACGGGTATGTAATTTGGCACTTTCAGGCGAGCTTGTATATGTTAACTCCTTACTCGAAGTACCTCTTTGGCTGCTGTTATCCATACTCTTTTTGTAGAAGGATAGTTTTCTTCTCGAGGCAAGAGGAACTTACAGCACACCACTTGCAAAAATCAGTTGCCAAGTTTGTGGAGAAAATGATTCCGAACAGTTCTCAGACAAAAGCAGCTGAATTTCTTGAGAGAAATATCATGACATAGTAGATTGGTTTCTTTACAGATTGCTGAGACTAAAAAATTGATATATAAAATACTCATCAAGTTTTTATTCAAAATGGAGGGCATTTCTTACCAGGCTTCAAAAGTAGCATTTAGCCACGTTAAAAAAGTTAATGAATTTAATATTGAAATTCTGTATTTTCTGAGAACTTCTTGCAGCTCAACACCTTCCCAAAAGTATGAAACCTCTCCACAAAACGCGGAATCATTTACACATAGCACAACTTGATAACCGCAATTACTAGGTTGGTCTATAAATCTCATTTTTTTGTTCCGTAATTAATAAGGTGGGAAATTAGACAATAATGTACGTTTTCCGATAGTTTGTGATATCTTCGTTATATGGTCCTACACTAAGCTAACTAGTCACTCGCTAAAACCTAGAGACTTCATCTCAGTTAGAAATATCTATGATCCATTCTGATAGTCTTGGATTTCACTGCACTATTTAGTGACCCTAACATGGTCCAAAATATTTGTTAATTAAAAAGTAATGTTTTGTTTTGGATTCGGAATATTATTATGATTATTTGATTATTCCATGGTCCATAGCCAGAGAAAAATACTCGAAAATATTGGCGCCCATTTCCCGCCTTGCGTGTCATCACAAAGTGTTGAGGAAATCGGTTTATGTTCAGCAAACAAAATAACCCTTGTAGGTAGTCTGAGTACTTTGTGGGGTGTTGCCTGTTATGTTTTTATTCCTAGCACGACCATATCCCTACTGCTTATATAAAAATTCACTCAAGTTGTGATAAAAACTACATTAAAACACAGCACGTGTTGTACATTTAGTTTTCACTACCTTTACGACCGAAAACTTTTGATTTTGGCAGTCTGTGTGCTTGTTAGTTAATATGAGCTTTTGAAGTCTTGAGGTAACTCAAAAATCCATACGTCAGATAATTTACATGCGATCAAATATATTTGGTCGAAAGCATATGCTTTCACATAATCGTTGATTATGTAGGAATTTGTCACTATAATATGATATTTGTATGATATCTTAGAAGTTGTTAGTAAAGTGCCGAAATTCCGCTCAATACTACCGCATGAGAGTCCAACTAATTATATCGATGTTCCTCATCTTAGATTTTTATCCTTTGTTTTGTAGGTTTTTATGGATATAAAACGTCTTACTGGTGAAGATAAGCTCAAACTCAGCCGTACTTACTTCTTTGGTAGATGGTTCTAGTTGTCTAAAATCCTATTCTGTTATTAGCTGGAATCGGATTTCTTCCTTTCCTCTGGTGGATTAACGTTTTTTGTTTTCTAAAGGAGCTGTCTGCCCCACAGGCATATCCAGAGTCTAAGCTGATTAGGAAATGTACTGAAATTTTTTTACCAAAACTTCATTTGTAGACGTCACTTTCAGTTTAATTGGAGCATTGTCTTGGACAGTTGTCTTTGCCGTTTGGATTATTACTTTCCTAAATTTCCGTGTTAGTTGGGGTGAATTGGGGGATCGTTTGTCGTTTAACATACCACCTGGCAGATTATAATGAAGATGTCATTAAGGGATAGAGAATGCCCTCCCAGTGGGTCTGTTTGGGAGGTTACAGACTTGCTAGCTGAGGATGCTGTCATCTGCGAAACCCCTAATATTTACACTTCTTCATCTGGATCTCGGCATATCTTCATATCTACGAAGTCCGGATTTATGGTAATATACAAATAAAAAATCGTGCATTTTGTAGAGCCAGGTGCTTTTCATAAGTCGTCACGTGGATCGTTTATTATATAAATATCATAGTTCATCTCAGTCCGATCCCTCAAAACCACCTGAATTTTGGATTCACGGTATAGGACCGCTTAGTATTATGAGGACAGCTGAGCTGGCTCTGCACTTAAGTCATCGATTGTACCCTGGGCACCTCAAAATATCAACTTACACGAGCAGCTGTTCAACTAAGAAACATGTGAGTCGGTATTTTTTGAAGTTGTTATCACCACGTGGCTTGTAAAGTATATTTTATTCTAAAACTTTCATTCCAGAAGTAAAAGCACCGTATTCAATAGATTTCAAACCATTAAAATCATATCAAATGTCTTTTTAAATAAATGTTTTTATCCATCTTATTTTCCAGATTATATCTCAAGTAGAAAATGAGAAAATTTCAATACGAGAGGAATCACGGACTAAAGGTGCTATTCATGTCCATATCCGTTTGGTCCCCACATGCGATGCTTAGATATTTCCATGAATCACAAAAATACCTTGATAAAAGTTGCCAGTTCGTACCTCCAGTTTATATTTGCATTATCCCAATGGTACCTGAATATCATGATGTATATTATGAGTTAAATAAATAGCAAATTTGACTCTTTGTTCTTATTTAACCTTAAGTATTTGTTTGCTTGTTCACTGATTCTGTTAACATTCTGGTTACGCAAAACAAAGCTCTCAATGATTTTGTGCCTTATCATTTTATATTGTGTCTTGATGGCTGGATATATATATGCAACCAAGGGGATAATCTAGGCCTTCTGGAGGATCTGATTCAACTTCAAATTTGAGCAGATAACAATGAACTTTTAACACCTCAAAGTGTGAAGTAGTCCATCTGAGACATGTTGCATACTACACGTATAACTCAATTACCTCGCTTCTAGAGGTATCACAGATTTAAAATGATCTCGGAGTCTCGGTATATTATGATCTAAAGTCTTACGCTAACTGCAACAAAAACGTCTTTCAAGCAAATCTTTCTCTGGTAACGTCGAAGTCCATTTTTGATCTGAGAGTTGATCATTTTGCTTTCAGCAGTCATGTCGAATTGATTTACTAGTTTCTCCATTTTACTTACTATTTATTTCGAAATTGACTCTGATTATTCTGTCACAAAAAATTAACGATCTCAACTAGTGATTATAACTTGACCATATTTTAACTCACAAATAGTGTGTGGGTATTGATTTTGAGGTTGTTTCTTTTTAGAGGTGGTATCATCTAACTTCTGCTGCCTTGGCAGAATCTATTAGACTGTCCTGGTCTCCATGACCCGTGATAACTAATCCGCCAAACGTGGCGGAAGTCCCTAAGGAAATTCAACTTCTGAAACACCACATCACCAGACCCAAATGACTTAATTCTGGCCATTTTTAAAGGTGGTTGAGACTTTCTGGTTAAGGAATTGACGATGTTGTTTACAAAGGTCGGGAAATTAGAGGGTGTTCTAATATCATGGAATTAGTCGATAGTTGTTCCTATTTTTAAAAAGGGTTCACGTCGTTTTTGCAACAGCTGTCGATGGATAAGTCTACTCCCGATGGCGTTCAAACTATTGGCTTCGAAGATTGTTCAAAATCCGATAAAATTAATTCTTAAGGAGCAGGATGGATTTTATGTTGGTTGAGGATGTATTGATCATATCTTCACCCTCCGCCTAATGTTAAAACATCGTCATACTTATTGTAGATTAAAAATTGTGTTTCTCGAGATCAGGGCCGCCTTCGATCGATAGGATTCGATCTCTACTAAGCAGGATCTGGCACATGACACTGGTCACTACCCAGTAATCAATCATTTGTTTCATGGTGTAGGAGTAGGTTGAGAGAAAGCTAGGGGTGGCCAAACAAAAGCATGGCACAGATCCATGAAGTCATTGGCAAGTGGGCTAAGCCATATTGGTAGCGATCAGCTACCGCTGGCGTGGTTGTGTACAAGACTGCCGCTCCTTTTGGAGTACCTATATGGACTCTGACCATGCCTTGGTCTGAGCCAATCTTACCTTACTTTTCAGTGGACAACGAAGTGATCGCCACCAACGGATTGATGTTAGCAAGCTGGTTGCAACTTCTGTTGCTAGTAAGTATCGAACCGAGCTAGTTTCTAGGCTAGCTACCATTCCACCGAAAAGTATAGATGAGCATTGGTTGCAATTGCATGACGCCATGAAAATGGCGGGAACAGTCAGTTGTGGGTTCGCGAAACGTCCCGCTTATAAGCACTGGGTTTCTTCAGGTTCCTTACAACTGATTGAAGCCCGTTGGTCTACTCCGGGTGGCCGTGAATTTGACCACAAACGAAGGATGTTACGTCTTGAAATTGGGCAAAGCTTTCGTAAGGAATGAGAAGCCTGGTGGTCGAAGCGTGCTAATGAGCTGGAAGCAGCAGCTGCATCTGGTAACTACCGGAAGTTCTTCCAGCTCATCCGAGCCACTGGCAGCAAGAAGTCTGGTGTGAGTGAAACAATCTGCGAGGATGATGGGATGCCAACCACTAACATCCACCGACGTCTTGGACGATGGGCAGAATTTTTCGAAGGGCAGTTCAACTGGCCTGCTGCTCCGGCAGCATCTGTCAGACTGTCCTGCTCTCCATGGCCGGTGATGACTGATCCACCAAATGAGACGGAATTCCGCAAGGAACTCCAACTCTTGAAGCGTTACAAATCACCTGGCCCAGATGACTTACCTCCGGCTCTTTTTAAAGATGGTGGTGACTTTCTGATTAAGGAATTGACGATGTTGTTTACAAAGGTCGGGAAATTAGAGGGTGTTCTAATATCATGGAATTAGTCGATAGTTGTTCCTATTTTTAAAAAGGGTTCACGTCGTTTTTGCAACAGCTGTCGATGGATAAGTCTACTCCCGATGGCGTTCAAACTATTGGCTTCGAAGATTGTTCAAAATCCGATAAAATTAATTCTTAAGGAGCAGGATGGATTTTATGTTGGTTGAGGATGTATTGATCATATCTTCACCCTCCGCCTAATGTTAGAACACCGCCATACTTTTCAAAGGCCAACAATCGTAGTGTTTCTTGACAATAGGGCTGCCTTCGATTCGTTGGACAGGACTGTTCTCTGGGATTGTCTGTTGAAGAAGGGTGTGCCTGAGAAATTTATCAACATCCTAACGGCCCTATATACAAACACCTCAGGCAGAGTAAGGGCATACAACCACCTCTGTCCATTGTTCCATTCGAGCAGTGGGGTTAGGCAGGGTTGCCCAATCTCACCATTCCTCTTCAACTTTTCCATCGATGACATTCTGGAAACAGCTCTGATGGATGTAAGTAATGGCGGTGTGGATCTGTTGCCTGGAGAAAGACTTCTCGACCTTGAGTATGCGGACGATATTGTCTTACTGTGCGATAATGCCCAACCCACGCGATCCGCACTTAATCAGTTGGCAATCAGTGTCCGTAAGTATGGTATGTGCTTTGCACCTACGAGGTGCGAAGTACTTCTACAGGACTGGCAGGATTCCAATCCTGTACTCACCCTGGATGGTGAGCAGATAGAAGTAGTCGAGAAGTTGGTGTATCTGGGTAGCTGCATAAGTGCTGGTGGTGGTGTTAGCGATGAGATCAGTGCACGTATAGTGAAAGCCAGAGCGGCTTATGCCAATCTGGGCCACCTTTGGCGCCTTCGTGATGTTAGTCTGGCTGTAAAAGGCCGGATCTACAACGCGTCGGTAAGAGCAGTTTTGCTCTATGCTTGTGAAACCTGGTCTCTCCGAGTTGAGGACGTTAGACGACTCTCTGTGTTCGATCATCGCTGTCTCCGAAGGATTGCTGACATTCAGTGGCAACACCATGTCAGTAATGCAGAGGCTCGGCATCGTGTGTTCGGGCACAGAGATGATAATTCAATTGGTGTCACCATCTTGAAACACCGACTTCGGTGACTTGGACATGTTCTACGAATGTCGTCCCAGAGAATTCCACGTCGTGCATTATTTGCCGACTCTGGGACTGGTTTGAAAAAGCGGAGAGGTGGTCAGTGCATGACATGGTGTCGTGGTATGAAAGAAAGCTGCAAAGAACTGGCTTGTGTTGGTCTTTCACGACTCCCTGGTTGGGGTCCGAGAGATGGCGCAGCACAGTGGCTAGAGACGTTATCAGATATGGCTCAGAATAGAAGCCCGTGGCGATCGTGCTGTAACCTTCTTTTACTTTCTTCGTAAAAAGTGGTTGCTTTTTCCTTAACTGAGAGATTTCTTCTGATTGTACCTTTCCGTTCCCTCATTTCTTCCACACTACCTTACACCAATCTCTTCGTTATTGTTCTCTTTTTTTTCTCTTCGAATTCTCGTTGTTTTGTGTGGCGCATATATATTGGCGCTCTCTTGTTCCAATATTTATGTGTTCAAATAAATAAATAGTAAACTTCCTGGTTGGGATCCGCGAGACGATAGCAATCGATTGCCCGGCACATCCACATTGCAACAAGCAGTTGCTACACTTGCCCCCAAATGCTCTGATATGGCCGAGAGCGGGGTGGGTTCGCCCTCCCTCTCGAAATACTCTCACACGGCCACGCGTATACGGCCTCTGTCAGGGAAGTCCTACCCACTGCCTTCTCGTGGCGGGGGTGTTGTTTACGAAAATGAGAAGACGGAATGCGAATGTCCGGTGCTTAAACCGGATCCCAAACCGATGGTGCACATGGGCTCCAGTATCCTGCGGGAACGAATGGCGTATAAACCAATTTCTTGGTCACCGGCTACCATGGGACTGCATCTCCTCACGATGCTCCACTGCCTTGTGGGTCAGACCTTTAGGTCAAAGGCTCGGGGTGTGGCCCCCTAAGAAGACCACTTGGTTCGGTCTGGGCACCCGGGCAGTACTACAGTCCACGCACAATTTTGATGAACTATTCTATATTTATGGAAAATACTATTCTTGCTGCGATTGTGAGAGACTTGGAATGACATGGCTCAAAATCGTTTACAATGGTGCAAGTGCATCCACTCTTTGTGTTCGTCCAAATTCTAATCTCCTGAATCCTTGTCTCTTGTTCTCTTTACAAATTTATTTCACTGGATTATACTCCATGAATAACATCTTCAAACCCTAATATTTCCGATTACTACTTATACTCTTACTACCTCTACCACTACGGGATTCGAATCGACAACTGCATCTATGTGCTAATGTGGTATGGTAACTCGAAGTGATGTACGTACGTACGAAGTCCTACATTGTGACTGACTGAATCAATCATTTGTGTACCTGGGAACTTTTTTGTCATCATGTACAAAACCCACAGGCAGAATGAGGGCACTAAGCACCTCACTCCATTGTTCCGTTCAAGCAGTGGGGTTATCCAGGGTTGCCCAGTCTCGACATTCCTCCTCAACTTTTCCATTGATGACGTCCTGGAAGTAGCTCTGATGAATGTAGGTAATGGTGGTGTGGATCTGTTGTCTGGAGAAAGACTTTTCGATATTAAGTATGCAGATGATATTGCATTACTGAGATAATACACAAGCCATGCAATCCTCACTTAATCAGTTGGCAATCAGTATTCGTAGGTATGAAATATAATGCGCGCCTTGTATGTAAAAAGTACTCCTACAGTACTGGAAGGACCATAATCCTGCACTCACCCTGGGTAGTGAGCAGATAGAAGTCGAGAAGTTCATGTATCTGGGTAACTGCATAAGTGCTGGTGGTGGTGGCATGAATGATGAGATCAATTAACGCATAGTGAAAGCCAGAGCGACTTATACCAATCTGGGCCATCTTTGGCGCCTTCGTGATGTGTGTCTGGCTGTAAAAGGTTGGATCTACAACACGTTGGTGAGAGTAGTTTTTCTCTATGCTTGTGAAACCTGGCCTTTTCGAATGGAGGATGTTAGGCGACTCCATGTGTTTGATCATCGTTGTTCTTGACCTTGACCCCCCCACAATATTGAGAAATATTTAATTTAAACTACAGACACTACTTAGTTTTTACAAATTGATTCAACAACCACTGTATCCCGGTTTTCATAGAATTCCAAAGCCTCTAAGAGTCGATCTCTTGAACTAGATTTACTTGAATTTGAGGAACCAAGGCCTAATAATTGTCCTATTTTGGGTGATTTTTACCATGCGTCTAGGTTTCTAATCCCTCTACACTATTTAGTTAGGCAATTTTGACCATACTTATTCAGCCAATTTTAAATAATCAAAATAGTTTCATTACTCAAAATGAAAGGGTGTATTTGGTTGTTAACAGTCGAATGATTACATATTTATTTTGTATTCACAAACTACTCAGTCCCAAATAGTTTATATTGATCCTTAGTAAAAACGGATTTCAGACAATGGTTTAGTTTCTTAAAACCACTGTAATGACTTCACTTATTAAATCTCTATCTTAATTACCGGTGTAAATATCTAAGTTATTATTAATCATGATTATTTTTACAGCATATTTACGTGTATATTTAACGAAAATAAGTACTGGCATAACTGGGAACCAAAATAAATATATGATGCATAAATAAGGTAATGAGATTATAAAGAGTAAGAGGAAGGATTAGGAGTGTAATTAACAACAAAGAAGTCAATAAAAATAAATGAATGAGAGTACTACATAGTCGAAAAAATAATTTCATTGAAAATATAATCAGAAATAATTATTGCGCAGAGTCCCTCTCACATTTGATAAATAATATCAAATAAAACTACAGAAGGATCGTCAATGTCTCATGTTCAGAGACATGTTTGATGACATCTGAAGCCACTGTGTTGCACAATCTTTAGGTTCCCAATCAGAATATTGTTATGAATCGACAAGTGCTAGTCGTACCCAGCTTTCTTTCATATCACAGCGGCATACTATAAACTGATCGCCTCCGCTTTTCCCATCGCTTCCTGGTGTTGGTAAATACTACACCACATGGAGGCCACTGGGACATCTGTAATATGTATCAAAGCCACTAAAGCCGGTGTTTGAAGATAGTGATACCAATTAAGTTATCATCGCTGTCCTTGAACACAACTACATAGATGCATAAACGTTTTAGCTACATTTGATTATTCATTACCAAGTGTGAGTACAGGTACAGACCACTTCTAGTGTTTTAAAAGTAGCTTGTATTTAGATTCAAAATGCATATCATAACCATAGATACTAATTGGCAATCCGCCAAGTGCGATTTGCATATATTGTGTATCATCACACCACGGCAATATCACCCGTCTTCTAAAATCCGAAAAATCCTCCTCAGGATAACAGATTTACACCATCACTATCTACTTACGTCAGAGTTGTTTCCAGAAGCGTCATTGATAGTCAAGTCGAAAACGAATGATGGAATTCGATAATTCTGTTTAACCACACTGCTTAAGTGGAACGATGGAGGAAGTTGGTTGTACACCCTCACTCTGTTTGAGGTGTTTATGTAAAGAGACTTTAAAATTTTAGTAAACTCAAACACACCCTTCAACAGAAAATAGTTCTGTTCAACAAATGGAATGAAGTCTCTATATCAGGAAGCATAACAGTTGTTGGCCTGGAATCTAAATTCAAGTAAACAGACTCAGTAAATCTTATTTTTTAAGGTAAATTTCAAGGTTAATGTGTACACAGAAACAATAAGGGTCTGTCATGGTCTTTTGACTCATCATTAGTACTTAAGCATTTTAAAGGCTCTGTTTTGAGTGACCAACAGTCCGCATACTTTTTTTAAATTTTGAGACTTATTTTCATATATTACCATACTTGTGTTGATGCACTTTTTTAGTATTAATCCAAGCTTATATCAAATGTTTGTTCTCGGTAATGACTTCCAAAAATATCATTACCAATCCTTATGACTTATAAAAAATGATATTGAAAAATAATGATCGTCAATTTCCAATGGAATTCAACATTATTAAGAATGTGAATAAAATATAGTTCTTGAACTCTATATTATTTATCCAATTATTTTTTGTCTTAAACCAGTTAACTTTGCTTACATTGTCTCGGTTGGCCACTTCTAACGAATACTTATGAGTCAAAGTAATAACGAAGTAAGATAGGGCTTCATAACTCCTCTCTACTATCCTTAACGAATGCTTTTTGATGTGAAGGTAATAATCTTTTGCTTCTTATCTTTGTGTTCAAGATGAAACTATTCCTCGTGCAATAATTTTTTGTAAATTATGGTTTAATGTTCACAACCACTGTTCTTTGAAACAAAAGTGACGTTCTTTGTCTTCGTTTATATATTTTTCTAGGATAGATTTGTAATGTTCAAAGTTAGTTTTCTGCGGCTTTATTCATATTCATGTATAATGCGAGTCCTAAACTTCAAGTGAACTGGTATCTCCTTACAGAGTGCTTGTTTTTCCACGTATTTCTTTTGGAATATTCCTAAATCAGTGTTTTAATAGTTTGTGCTGTTTATTTTGGTCTTCAGTTTGAGTGATAAGTTATTTTTATCAAGACAGTTGTCAGGAGATAATGTTGAGATTCTAAGATAGTAAATACTTGCAAAAAAATACCTGACTTCCACTTGTTGATTCACTGATGATAGCTTTTGGTTAGAGATCGCCGTCATTTATTGAGAATGCAGACTAACTTAATATCAAGAGATCAATTAATTATGAAAAGGAACTGCTAAGAATGGATGGAAAGTTTTGAGAATAAAATAATGTTAGGACTGTTATACTAAGCTGTACGTTATTATTTTACATCGTATATTTGAAATCTTCCATATATACCACTTTTAAGATAACTAGTGTTGGAATATATACGGTTGATGATTGGTTCTAGTTTGACTTTAATGCAATAGATAAATCTTTGTTTATGAATATAACTATTGTGGTTTTAAGCTTCTTTCCTCCGTATTATCAATATCATTAGGGAATAATGTTTTTTCTATTATCACTTCCAGAGACTTCTGTTATTCAACAAAATTTAACTTCCAATGACCGATGTCGGTTCAAGTTTAATTTATTGGAATGAGAAAGAAATCCTGCCAAGAGGGATTTTTCTTTCTTCCTCTGGGTCTGGTGGGGATCGTCTTCTGTTTTGGCAATCGTTCCATGCTAACGATAACAATAAATACAATCCTAAAAAAGGATATTGTACACGCAATGATGACTGCTCATCGGCGGTTGACACTGTTAACAACCAGGAGTCTACGTTATCAAAGTACTGTAAATTATGTCTGAATACAATTGTTGCTTTATTCGTGTATACTTTTCGGATATGCAGAATTAGTATGTCTTTATTCATTGGTTGACTTTTATGTTGGGTACCGTGAATTGAATATTTAGCAGTTTCAGCACAGTATCGAATTATTCCGTTGATAAGAACTATTCATTTTATTTGAAAATAGTTTCGCTCAATAAATTGTGATTTGTTTATTAAGTGCTGAACACTAAGAATCTATCGATTAATTGTTCCAGTTTAACTGTACTTTGTGATCATTCCCAGTGTTTCTAAAAATTAGTTTCGCTTCATGATGACAACTATCTTTACGCATGCTTTTCTCTTGAGGATTGTTAAGATTAGGATCGAATTTTCAGTTACAAGCGAGAAAGTATTCCTATTATAATTAGGTTAGAGATAGTTTCCTATTTAATGTCATAAGATGGACCCCTGGCCTATTGAGAAATGAATCTAAACGTTAGATGACTCATAGGGTATTTGGCAGTTTGGTCCGGATTTGATGATTTGTATAAATAGTGAATTGGGCAGCCTATGCTCCTCTACGAGGGGTAACAGGCGTAAGTAAGTAAGTAATAAATAGTGAATTAAAGTATATTGTAATGTATTAGGTCCTTTTAAGTTATTTCTTTGTTTAGTAGTAATAAAACGAGACTTCTTTTGTGTTAACCCAAACTGAAGTTCACCTTTCTAATCTATTCCTTTTTATAAGTCATAGATGTTATTTTTGTTAGTAACAAATCATTTTACAGCTGATCCATGTGTTTTGTGATAGATAGTTTCTTTTTTGTTGTTGTGCATTTATTCGACACTTAGTATGTATATTTGCGGTATTTCCTCTGTATTCGGTGTCAACTATTCCCTATCGTTTTATCACCAGTTTTTTATGACTTTAATTTCGGCTTTCATGTTTATCTGTTGTGTGTACATAACTGGCCACCTGCTTTGTTTTTTAACTCTGAGTTCCATTTCGATTATGTAAACGCATTCAAATGTAACTTGTGAGTAGTCGGGTGTTTTTGGGAGATACAGCATGTGTTTAGCGTTTGAAAAATTTTCACTTTTAGTACTAATTAAATTTATAAAACATTGATTGCTTCCATATACTAAATGTTTAACTCTGAGAGTAGTTTTTTGTTATAACGTAGAGCTGTTCACTTTTCTCTTTCAAACTAATATCTTTCTCTTCTTTGCTGACTATCTTTGAACTTTGTTAACTTCTTCCTTCTGTGGTGTTATGAAATGAGAGCTTTAACTGATTCGTTTTCTGTGAAATTCTATCCTTTCGGTTAATAAGCAAACTCTAAAGTGTAGAATGTAATGTCATCTCTGAAATCCATATTTGATATCGAGTGTCAATGTTTAAAAATTTTTGTACGCAGCAGAAAACTACACTTTGCTTCCATTATTGTCGATCAGTTAGTTTATCAGTCCCTATCTTTTCCGTTTAGTCGGACAGCGCTCGAGTAACTGTCGATTGGAATCCAGCCAAGAAGAGCTTATTTCTCTTTTGAACTTAATGCTGTACCTACACCAGAGGATTCACGGGAAGTAGCAGTGGAGTACATAGATACAAGAAGATTAAATCGCTCTGGTTTTTTATGTTGACAACGTGAGGTCAGATTAATGACCGTACTTGGATCTTGTATGTGCTTTACGGAGATGCACTATATATCGATGACGCGAGATTCTTCAGTTCTTGCTAAGGAAGCCCGTTGTCGTATTTGACACAATGTTCAAACATCTAAAGCTCCAACATGCAGTTTAGAACGTGGTTTCAGGAGACGAGGAATAACATTTCGTGAACTTGAATCATTATCACTGATGGCGTTTGGTGTTAAGGATATATATGGGTTAGTTGTGTAGATGGAAGAATTATTAAGAAGTAAGGGAGGGATTTTATCGTCAACAGGATGATTTCAGTTGCTGGTAGAGGTATAAGGGTGGTTGTCGCTTCTCGGTTACCAACATTGTGGAAGGATATTTCTTTATTGATCTTAAAAAGGGGTGGAATTAGCGGTGGCCTTAACGATCTTGAGAATGAGCGCAAAGCCTAAGGAACAACCGCTCAAGGCTGGTCGCACACGGCTCTTATGGAGTTTTTGATGTGTTAGCTCCTCATTTCACAAGGCGTTACCGCTGAAGACGGAAACCCATAGGATCAGGTGTGACATTTTTGGGCTCGACCTTTTCTAATCCCTTCTTTCCTTTGAGAGAAAATGGCATTGCTTCAGATACTGGTCGTTTGAAAGAAACACCTTCTGCACACCCCTCTACAGTGAGCAGTACGACTTCTTCCTCAATCCTTAAGTTACCACCTTTAGTCTTACCGTTCTCCAGCCGACTCTCCTGGTATGATAGGAATTACAGGAACATGTGTTCCAGTCAATATAGCTCGACTGAGCATGTCTGACGTCCACTTCGAGGTAGCAGCTATGGTTTGGCTCCTAATAATGATTGTCTGAGAAATTAATAAGAATTTTAAATTCGTTGAGAGCACTGAAAAAGCGTTTTCAAAAGAATACATCGGGTAGTGCAATCGACTACTTATAAGTCTTTGAATTTATTGCATTTGCATAGTGCTTAAGTAAATGATACCTTTAAACACCCGAAACCTTGATTTATGCGTAGATTTCGAAACTACGATTGAATGGCAGAAAGTGTAGTGTCTAAGACATTAAACTGTCATGTCACACATAACTAATAATAATAATAATTGTTTGCCAAAGTGATTTTCAAATGATACATCTACCATTTCTCTACATCATGGACTTCTTATTTTTTTCGTTTACCTTTAGATTGAGAACAGTTTACTTAGTTTGTTAGTTCGTTGCATATTTCCCTGAAGTTCACGTCTAATTTCTGACGGTAAATTTAATTTTATGAAAGGTAATATTTACCAGTTTGCTTATTTATTGGTGTAAGCATAACAATGATTTGAAAAATGAATCGAAGCAAGAAGAAAATAGATTGTATAAATATACTTTATTGATAGGTCCGTTCTTAGTTTGAGTAGTCCGTGATTCATCTAAAAATAGATTTTTTTGTACCTTAGAACTACACTTGACATAATGGAAACTTACACGTAATAAAACTTCCTGATTTGTTTGTCCTAATTACCATTCATGTGTGTATTTTTAATAATCTTTCTTATTTCATTTGTTTAACTGACGACAGTCGTCTCATCTCCATTTATAGTCATATATGACCGTAAATATTCTGTTTTTTTTTTGCTGTCATGAAATTGTTTCTCTACGATGGATATTTTTTCAGGGGTCCTACATCTATTGGTAGTTCAACCATAGAGGCAATCACTCCTAGTCCCAGACTAAAAAATACGGGCCATATTCGAGGTCATAAAAATAGTGAAAACCCATTCGCACTCAGTGTAAGTACTATCATCCTCTTTCAATTTTGCATACTATATATTAAATAATAAACTTTATAGGTTATTTGATAATTAACTGAGGTTATCTTTATTGATTGAAACGATAGAAAGTGCCTTTGGTTGCTGACACAATACTTCTGGATTTACATTGATACTTGATTACTATGATTACAATTGATCTTTATTATCTCAGGCTTTTATACGTTACACTAAATAAATACAGTATTCTATCGATAAATACTGTACGTTTATATGCAGTAGATATATAATGTAAATTAATTAAAATTATAACAATTTACAAAAAGGGTAATGACAATAAGCTGTATTCAAACTCTAAATGTGCTAATAGAGTTCATTATAACATTATAAAGCTGTATGTACTAGTGCATATTTTTAAAATTATAAATTGATTATTTCAGATTAGTGGTATTGAATATCAACTTGTTTCAACATGACTATCTGTAATAAATGCAGGATTTTAATTATATTTATATTTTTTCACTGACTGAAAGTTCAGCTACCATATCCATACTATTTTTATAATTACCTTTATTTGTAAATACAGTTGGTATATTATCATAGTCTTTGATAGGGCTTCCCATACAGAATTTCTTCCCATTCAGCCTAGTCATGAGTTAGGAAAATCAATTCAAAAATGGGTCAGCCAATCATATGTAACGTTGAGTCTGGCACATATGAGCACCGGTTCAAGTTGCCACATCCCATTATTACAGTGAGATGCAATGTTCTTTCCAGTCTGTTGGTACTTGTTCCTCATCCCAAATCTTGTTGAAGAGAATGTGGAGTATCTTTGCAGTTGCCTCTACGTCTGCGTTCAGTGCCTCTGCTGGAATGTTGTCTGATCCTGCTGCTTTGCCACTCTTGATTTGCGTGATGGCCATGCTGATTTCTTCAATTGTTGGTGGGCCAACATTGATTGGGAGGTCCGTGGGTGCTATTTCGATGTTGGATGGGTTCAGTGGAGCTGGTCGATTCAAGAGTTCTTTGAAGTGTTCTACCCACCTGTTTCGCTGTTCTTCAATGTTGGTGATTACCTTGCCTTCCTTGCTTTTCACTGGTCGTTCTGGTTTGCGGCGATTTCCAGAGAGTTTCTTTGTCGTGTCATACAGTTGTCTCATGTTTCCTTCTCTTGCATCCTTTTCCGCCGTCGCTGCTAAATCTTCCACATATTTACGTTTGTCGGTTCTGATGCTTCTCTTCACTTGTTTGTTTACTTCTGTGTATTCAGCTTGTGTCTTGGCTTTTTCTGCTCTTGTTCGACTGGTTTTGATTGCTACATTCTTGTTCCTCCGTTCTTGAATCTTATCCAGTGTATCAACAGTGATCCATTCCTTGTGATGGTGCTTCTTGTGGCCCAGGACCTCATGACATGTTGAAGTGATTGCCTCTTTGATCCCCTTTCAGTTGCTCTCCACGGTAGTTCCTTCTCCATTGAGTAGATCATGAAAGGCCTGGAATATGGTGCCACCTACGACCGGTTTATTGAAGGCACATGGGTTTGCAAATCTCTTACCATTTTCGTTCCTTTCTCCCAGTTCGTGTCGTCCCATGATGTCTTCATATCCGATGTTGTTCATTCCAACCTCGGTATTTAGGTCTCCCATCAGAATGGTGAAGTCCTTTGTTGGGCACTTCTTGACGATTGACTGCAGCCTATTGTAGAATTGATCTTTAGTGTCTTCATTGTAGTCGTTGGTAGGCACATAGCATTGGATGACGTTCATTGTCATGCCCTCTTTCTTTGTTTTGAAGGAGGCTTTGATTATCCTTGGTCCATGAGATTCCCACCCTATAAGTGTATTTTGTGCTTGTTTGGACAGCATCACTGCAACTCCTTGTGTATGTGGAGCATTTTCTTCATCATGGCCGGAGTATAGCAGAAGCTCCCCTGAAGCTAGTCGTTGTTGTCCAACTTTCGTCCAATGTGTTTCACTGATCCCAGGCACCTCTAGGTTGCATCTCCTCATTTCTGCAGCAATTTGGAAGGCTCTCCCGGTGTCCCACATTGTACGAGCATTCGATGTACCTAAATAAATGGTCGCTCTGGTTGTTAGAAGGGGCATCGGCGTCGTAACTTCCGAAGGCACTCGGCTTTTATTATGAGGCGTCATAGTTCTTCCAAATGAAGACCTTTTGACTCCCAGGGCAGAGTTTAACAGGTTCAAATAATTTTTCTGGTTAGTGTTTTTTTGGCGAGTTAGTTTTCTACGGGATGGAGTCGCTAATTTCATGCCTAACCCTCCTCCTTTATGCGGGCTTGGGACTGGTAGAAGCCCCCGGAGGGACTCCAGGCGGAGTTAGAGTAGCAGAGTTAGTAATAGTTATAATGATAATAATAAAAGTTAAGCATATAAGGTATTGTGATGGTGGAGAAGATTTGTAGCTCAGGTGGATGATTTTGATGGGATTTCGTTCTCTGAGCAGGATGGTTTGGTCGTGCAGCTTTCACCGTTCTTCTGAACGGCATCACCAGCACAAACTTCAGGTAGAAGTGAAGTGTTCGAATTTCTCCATATTTGTTTCACAGCTTGTTCTGTGCACCTCGATGTTGATTGATTTTTATTGACCTTAAATTTGTCATTGCTTACTTCTTTGTTTTGGTTGTGTCTCCCATTGGTTTGATTTTTGTTCGTATATTTGTGCATGATTTTCCTGATTGGTTGGTAAATTGGATTGATTTCAATATGCTTGTTGATTGCTGATTGACCTGAGTGCCAGGCTTCTAAAAATTCTCTGGTGTTTTTGGAGTTTCCTCTGTGCAAGAACTCCGCCTGTAGCTCTTGTAGAGTTACTGCCGGTCCCAAGCCCGGGTTAAGGAGGAGGGTTGGGCATGGGGTTAGCGTCCCCATCCCGTAGAAAACTAACTCGCTAAAAAAGCGCTTACCAGAAAAAATAATTCAAACCATTTTAACTCTGCCCTGAGAGTTAGAAGGTCTTCATTTAGAAGAATTATGACGCTTCATGGTGAAAGCCGAGTTCCTCTGTGCAAGATTTCCACATTTTTCCAATCGAATGAGTGTCCGCAGTTGTCCACGTGCATTGATATAAGTGAGGAGATATCATGGCGTTTGACTGCTAATTGATGTTCGTGTAGGCGAAGGTGAAGGGGGCGTTCGCTTTGTCCGATGTAGTGTTTTTCGCAGTTGGCACAATTTATTTTGTAGATGATATTTGATTTGTTTTCCTTTGTTATTTCATCTTTTGGTTTGCATAGGATTGATTGTAATGATTTTGTCGGTTTGTGTGCCACACCTATCCCGAAGGTTTTCAGCAGTCTTGTTGCGGTTTCTGATATGCCTTTTATGTATGGTAGGGCGATCCTTTTGTTGATTTTTCTGCTTGACTCGAATTCTGATGCTGCGTGCGGTTATTTTTTGATGAATTTTATTGGGTAGCCGTTCTTTTGAAATACGTCCTCAAGTGTATAGGAAACCGACCCATACAGATCAAATTCTCAACTACAATAGCAACAACCTAAGAGCTCACAAAATCAACTGCGTACACATTTTGTTCAAGAGGGTGAGGACACACTGCAGCACGTAATGCACGTCTTAACTGTCTCAGTTGATGCAAATTCACTACCTCATCATTCGATTTGTTAAACGGTGAATCGTGGGGGAGAACATATCAGTACCAGACGTGCATGTTCTCAAAGTTAGTCAAGTAATGTTATGTCTGGGAAACGGTCAAGTTGATTTTTGTTTCATTTCTTGCGCGAAATTCCTCGTATCACAATTAATTTTGTTTTAAACGTAATTCAAAGTAGTCTTGTACTAGACTGCATTGTTTAGGCTATCTGTCTGTTTATCTCTTTTCAGCAAATGGATGACCTAACGAACTTATTTATTTGAATTTACACACATGTTTAACTTTCAGTAGTGCTCACTTTTAACTATTTGATAGTATACTAACACTTGATTTGTCAATAAAGAGGCATGGTTTTGTGAATTTTAAATTAGTATCTATACCTATATTTATTATTGTCCTAGTTAATCTCTGAACGCACGATGTTTTTCAATGAAAGTAGTTTCGGGAATGGTCCTATCACTGCTGGGCTGAATCAGAATTTTATGGGCTCAGCAGATCGTACGTTAAATAATTGTCCAACGATTTGTTCAAATATCAACTCTAGTTTGTGTACTACGAGTTCATTATCTCCGAGTAATCCAGTTGGGGGTGTAACTACAAATTTGTCCAATCCTAATATAGTTCTTGGAAGTCTGTATTCTACTGATCCATCATTGCAGGTTCCTTCTACTGAATCCCCTTTAATTGGAAATTTAGGGATTTCAAATATAGAAGGTATTCCAGCCAATGTATTACTTAGTCTTTTACATCAACAAACTCAAGCTCTTCAACGTAAAATCTACATCAAGGTAATTTTAGCACATTATGATTGCTATAGTATTATAGGAATATGTTATGTTTAAAAACTTCAGGATATAATATTTTACCACATATGTACTATTAATTTGTTTTTCGGCTTATTTTGTAAATTAGGAAGCTAATCAAACTAAACATATACACACAACTATATTACATGAGTAATTATTTGAAAAACTATTTTTCATGGAGCGAGAAATTGTCTGACTTGTAGGGTAAGCAATGAATAACTAGCAATATGGAAAGGTATTGAAATTTTAATCAAAATAAGAATGAAAGGTGGACCCAAAGTTCTGACAAGTCCCAAAATAAGATAAAATATCTATTTAGCATTATTTGATTTTCAGTGACTTTTCAACTGTTTCAAGTTCTTGAAAAATCCAAAAATCATATCAAATTAATAAAGAGCATTGGACGATGTGGATACATACACCTGTAAAGCTAAGTGTGAATTGTTCCCATTGCATTTTGTAAGAAAAAGAATAAATTCTTGTATGAACATTTCTTGACTACCTGATCTGAAGATAGATCAGCAAACTACACTGTAAACAAGTCGGGATCTAAAAAACTTGTTTTCGTTACTGTAGTTTTCTCTTTTTTTCTGTAAAAATTACTATTTCTCTGGACAGTTTCTCTCATTTATTTGTAAATATTTCCTGGTTTGTATAATTTTCAAAGTTAGACCACAATATATTTATTGGAGCTGCATTTAATTTATCCCCGTCTGATATTGAAACCATCGGACTTATTGAAGATACTGAAGATTGTAATACCAAAATTTGTGATAACGAGTTATCACGGACAACTATGATTAGTTTCACTGTTGGTTTTTTGATGGATTCGTCTGCACCTCCATCTGTATTGTCTTATCTTACTGAATTATCCAGATTGGTGAGTGACTGTTGTTGGTTGTATTTGCCGTCTAATCATTTTATTCACTAAGCTTTTTGTACTTTTATTTAATGATTAAAAATTTTTAGATTTATATTACTCTGTAACAGTAAACAACGATAACCCATTCAAGCGTTGAACTTAATAATTTAATTGTGGATCGACATCACATAGAGAGTCAATAAAAAGTAGAAAGAACTAGATAGCTGTTTTGCTTTAGTCTCTAACTTCTAAACGATATATATTCACGAACCTACCTAACGTTGTACTTAGGACCTTCAAATCTTCATGTCGGTATTATACCCTCGGAGCACTAAATTACAATTTAGTGGTTTTCCTCCTTAATGCCAGATGGTTTATGGTGTAGCGTGATAGTCGTCCAACGGGATTGTTAATAACTGTTTCATTCTTGATATGATTAAGCCCCACAGATCATAGGTTCTTACTGAGACTGTGTAGTTTTTCCCCAACTGGTCGCTTGTGTTTGTATGGTTATTATCTAAATGGACGCCTTTTTGAGTTTAACTGAATTCGAAGATGTTTTTCGCCATGAACCAATGTACATATATGTATTTATCATATTAACCACTGAATTTCATGATTTGATGTCTTAAATATCGATCTTCTTTTTGTGTCTCAGTTTATAACTGTTAGTGCAGAATCTGACACCGTAATGCTCCATCTTTTATTTCATTCCTAAGTATTTATACAAATGGCGTTAACTGCATGTTTAATAAACAGATTGTATTTAATTCGATATTACTTCAATTTAAAAATAATACTATTTACAAACTAAACCAGCTAGATAATTATCGAAAAACAAAAATCATTAGACAACTGTTTTGTTCTAATGAAGAATGTAAACTATCGCTCACTTATAAAGACTATTGTCATTCAATTCTAGTCTTGTAGAAAAATACACCGATACTTTACTGAAATAGCTGGTATGCTATAAACAAAACACATACGTGTCTATTATCTTTATTATAACAAAAATAATCACCATATGACCGTCAAGATGTTTATAAATTCTAGTTAGCCAATTAGTTTTTCTGCTAATTGGTTCAAGCAATATTTTAATAATCTAATGCCTTTAATTTCTAACCTAATTATAAAATGGTGTTTCCCTGAAAATTTAGTTTATAGATTTTAGTGTAAATGAATTATCCAATAACTCAATTTATCTCCAAGATGTCTAGTAATTATTTTTTTTTGAACAATAACAATAACCTTCATTTTATATTGAATCAGTACAATATACCCATTAAGACAATAAATAAGAAAGTTTGGTTCAGCCGAAAAGACAATTCTTAACTGAACCAAACTTTCTTATTTATATTTAATCGACCGGTAATAAATTAAGTTATTAATTGTTTTGAGAATTTTGATTGGGAAGAATATTTTTTTAAAATACATACTTATTTTTCTAACAAGATTTAATCAACTAGTGTTTTTGTATTCATTCTCTTAAATCCTCCTAGATCGGTTCTCAAGTAAGACGTGCAGAATTAGTGTTTAATTACCTTAGAGATCAAAGAGATATTATTGTTTCTACTCTAGAGAAATATTCTTATGCTGATACTAATTCATGGTCCGGTAACTTAACAACAGACTACAACACAAATAAATATGGACCAGATAACTTAAACTTTTCCAAGTCATCTCAATTCTTTTCAAATAAACGTTATATCAAAATCGCAGAAAGTTCTAATTCTGATAGAGATACTAATTTTGTTAATTCTGTCATGGATCAAGAATGCAATGAATCTAAGCTACCAAATGCGTTAAATGCAAATCAATCAATCAATGAAAATATATCTGCAAATAACTCTTATAATAATTCTGATGATTTTCATGATAAGATAAATGACGTAACTACAATGAATCCACTTGAGAAATTAGTTCAAATATCATCTTTATGCGCTGAACTAAAAAGCATACTTGATTCAGTTTGTAAAACAGGCCATGTGAACGTTAAAGTAAGTGAATTCCCATTTTCTGCAAGCTTACTTTGATTGTTTGTTCAACCTCGGTTTTCGAAAGAATTGTACAAAATCGAATCAATATAACAAGTATCCAGACTCATGAAGATGAGGTGTAGGACTTTTTACCAACGTTTATGATAAGTCTTGCTAATTGAACGCTAGATTTGGTCCCTAAGCTCTTCTATTAACCCCCAGGCTAGATCTACACATCGACTTAAACACTAGAGAAAACATGCGAAATATGTAAGAAACACTTTACTCCAAAGCTTCGTTCATGTACGAGAAATATAGGGTTTTTATAGTATTTTAGACGTCTTTGGGTTTCCCGAAAATTCCGGAACCCTACTAAACATAGTAGCAGTATAAGTAATCATCCAATCAGAAACTCGACATGTGACTTCTCACTCTCCAGATGTTTCTGGTAAAACTTTTACTGAACGCTGATTGGACAAGATGTTTCTCAGCGTTTTCAGAGCCTATCTTGGCTTTTTTCGAGGAGTTTTTTTGGATCTCCCCAACAGTTTACCAATATATATTCCGTAATATAAACCGTTAATTAGTAAATAAATATTTAATATACTTCTAGACATTAGTCTTGTTTCCTAATTACGGTAAATCAATAATATAATCCTTGTTCACACAAACGTCAAGAAAACAAATACACTTGACAAACAATGTATTGTATCATTCTTATTATAAAAATTTGAACTAAGTTTATTCTCTTTCGAAAAATAGAAATTTGAAAATATACTGAGTTTCTATCCTTAATGTCTTATTCTACACTAATTTGGCCGAAATTTAAGAAAAAAATATAGATGATAGTGTAAATTTTTAAAAAGCCGAAATATGTATTGATAAAATGAGGTGAAGAAATGAAGATATAGAATCTCAAGAAGATAATTTTCGGTGAACTATTCCCTGTATTTCTAATAAACATTTACTAAACAGTTAATTTATAGTACAGTCCTAGTTCTATTTTTTGGTGTTCAAGGATCGCAGTAAATTAACTTCAAGTGAATTGCTCATCTTGCATAAAAAACCCTGGTTATGTACGTATTGAAATTTATTATTTATTGTCTTGTATTTTATCGATTTTACTTACTTACTCCTGTTACTTCTAATGGAGCATAGGCCGCGGACCAGCATTCTCCATCCCACTCTGTCCTGGGTCTTCTTTTCTAGTTCCATCCAATTTTTGTTCATTTTTCTCATGTCTATCTCCATTTCCCGGCGTAATGTGTTCTTTGGTCTTCCTCTTTTCCTTTGGCCTTGAGGATTCCATGTGAGGTTTTATCTTGCGACGCAGTTGGGTGCTTTCCTCAATGTGTGTCCTATCCACTTCCAGCGCTTCTTCATGATTTCTTCCTCCGCTGGGATCTGTCTGGTTAGCGTTTTTTAGCGAGTTAGTTTTCTACGGGATGGGGTCGCTAAACCCATGCCCAACCCTCCTCCTTTATCCGGGCTTGGGACCGGCAGTAGCCCCCGGAGGGACTCCAGGCGGGTTGGAGAATGCTGGTCGGCGGCCTATGCTCCATTAGGAGTAACAGGCGAAAGTAAGTAAGTAAGTAATCTTCTGGATGATGGCTTTCGTAGTCCTCCAGGTTTCTGCCCCATACAGTAGAACTATCCTGACATTTGTATTGAAAATTCTGACCTTGGTGTTGGTTGACAGTTGTTATGGGTTTCAGATGTCCTTCAATTGTAAATATACTGCTCTCGCTTTACCGATCCGCGCTTTCACATCTGCATCAGATCCACCATGTTCATCAATGATGCTGCCCAAATATATAAAGGTTTTTACATCTTCCAAATCTTCTCCGTCAATTGTGATTCGGTTGTCGCATGCTGTGTTGTATCGGGAATCTTGCTTTTCCCTTTGTGTATGTTGCGACCTACTGTTGCTGAGGCTGCTGCTACACTGTTCGTCTTCTCCTGCATTTGTTGTTGCGCTTGCGATAGGAGGGTTAGATAATCTGCGAAGTCTAGATCGTCCAACTGCATGCTAGATGTCCATTGTATCCCGTGCTTCCTTTCAGATGTTGACGTCTTCATGATCCAGTCGATCAGCAGGAAAACGAGGAAGGGCGAGAGTAAGCAACCTTGCCTAACACCGGTCTTCCCTTCGGACGACTTTGTCAACTGTCCTCCATGCACAATTTTGCAGTCTAATCCATCATAGGAATTCTGTATGATATTGACTATATTGTGAGGCGCACGCCGTAGTGTCGAAGAAGCTTCCATAGTGTTGTTCTGTCCATGCTATCAAATGCCTTTTCGTAGTCAATGAAGTTAATGTAGAGTGATGAATTCCATTCAATTGATTGTTCCACAATGATCCATAGAGTTGCGATTTGGTCTGTACATAATCAGTCCTTACGGAATCCTGCCTGTTGGTCTCGGAGTTGGGCGTCAACGGAGTCCTTCATTCCGTTTAACAATACAACAGAAGTTTTTCTTTCCAATCTGTTGGTACTTGTTCCTCATCCCAAATCTTGTTGAAGAGAATGTGGAGTATCTTTGCAGTTGCCTCTACGTCTGCGTTCAGTGCCTCTGCTGGAATGCTGTCTGATCCTGCTGCTTTGCCACTCTTGATTTGCGTGATGGCCATGCTGATTTCTTCAATTGTTGGTGGGCCAACATTGATTGGGAGGTCCGTGGGTGCTATTTCGATGTTGGATGGGTTCAGTGGAGCTGGTCGATTCAAGAGTTCTTTGAAGTGTTCTACCCACCTGTTTCGCTGTTCTTCAATGTTGGTGATTACCTTGCCTTCCTTGCTTTTCACTGGTCGTTCTGGTTTGCGGCGATTTCCAGAGAGTTTCTTTGTCGTGTCATACAGTTGTCTCATGTTTCCTTCTCTTGCATCCTTTTCCGCCGTCGCTGCTAAATCTTCCACATATTTACGTTTGTCGGTTCTGATGCTTCTCTTCACTTGTTTGTTTACTTCTGTGTATTCAGCTTGTGTCTTGGCTTTTTCTGCTCTTGTTCGACTGGTTTTGATTGCTACATTCTTGTTCCTCCGTTCTTGAATCTTATCCAGTGTATCAACAGTGATCCATTCCTTGTGATGGTGCTTCTTGTGGCCCAGGACCTCATGACATGTTGAAGTGATTGCCTCTTTGATCCCCTTTCAGTTGCTCTCCACGGTAGTTCCTTCTCCATTGAGTAGATCATGAAAGGCCTGGAACTTATTGCTGAGGACTATCTTGAATTTGTTGAGTTTGTCAGTATCCCGAAGAAAGGTCGTATTGGTTCTCACATCCTCTATCGTCCTCCTGAACGTTTTGTTGATGCAGATATGGTCGATTCAGTTTTGTGTAGTGTGATCCGGTGAAGTCCATGTGATTTTGTGAATGCGTTTATGTGGGAATATGGTGCCACCTACGACCGGTTTATTGAAGGCACATGGGTTTGCAAATCTCTTACCATTTTCGTTCCTTTCTCCCAGTTCGTGTCGTCCCATGATGTCTTCATATCCGATGTTGTTCATTCCAACCTCGGTATTTAGGTCTCCCATCAGAATGGTGAAGTCCTTTGTTGGGCACTTCTTGACGATTGACTGCAGCCTATTGTAGAATTGATCTTTAGTGTCTTCATTGTAGTCGTTGGTAGGCACATAGCATTGGATGACGTTCATTGTCATGCCCTCTTTCTTTGTTTTGAAGGAGGCTTTGATTATCCTTGGTCCATGAGATTCCCACCCTATAAGTGTATTTTGTGCTTGTTTGGACAGCATCACTGCAACTCCTTGTGTATGTGGAGCATTTTCTTCATCATGGCCGGAGTATAGCAGAAGCTCCCCTGAAGCTAGTCGTTGTTGTCCAACTTTCGTCCAATGTGTTTCACTGATCCCAGTCACCTCTAGGTTGTATCTCCTCATTTCTGCAGCAATTTGGAAGGCTCTCCCGGTGTCCCACATTGTACGAGCATTCGATGTACCTAAATAAATGGTCGCTCTGGTTGTTAGAAGGGGCATCGGCGTCGTAACTTCCGAAGGCACTCGGCTTTTATTATGAGGCGTCATAGTTCTTCTAAATGAAGACCTTTTGACTCCCAGGGCAGAGTTTAACAGGTTCAAATAATTTTTCTGGTTAGTGTTTTTTTGGCGAGTTAGTTTTCTACGGGATGGAATCGCTAATTTCATGCCTAACCCTCCTCCTTTATGCGGGCTTGGGACTGGTAGAAGCCCCCGGAGGGACTCCAGGCGGAGTTTTTTTATCGATATAATCACTCGTTATTAGTGTAAATAGTAAAATGTACTTATGATTATTTATCAGGGTCTCGATTATCGAAAATCAAAGATTCGGTAACAGAAATTTATGTGACTTGTCAGTCATGTGTGAGGAATACAGTAAACATAACACAACATTCGTTCTTTTGTTAACATGAGATCAAAAGTTTATTTCCTATATGATTGTTCCAACCAACATACGTGGATATCTGGTGTATTGAGATTTTTTTTATATTTCATTAGACTGCATTCTTATGATTTTGATATGTATTGTTTCGTATCTTAGATCATGAGATGTTTTCTGTAATCTCGTTTACTAGTTTACCGTTTCTATTTAGACTTTACATGTTAACTTATAGTTTAGGAGCTACTTAACGTTAACAGTTATAAGTGTAATATATATAAATTCATAAATGCGAATTCTAACAAAAAGAGTCGAATAAATATCTTGAGGTGTTAGTTTGTACAGTTTAATCTGAATTTGTAGTTTTCATTTTGGGGTTGTGGAGATTGTTGAATTATAATAATGAATCGAATAATGTTAGGTTGATGTCTCGCTCGACGCCGTGGATTTGTTGAAGTTGTACATCAACACCACTGGATGCCAGCTCCGTGGTTTATAAGTTAGTGGTTCGCACACGAAACCGTAAGTCTTGGGTTCGAATCCAGTGTGGGGAATCGTGGGCGTGCGCTGCTGAGGAGTCCCATACTAGGACGAAACGGCAGTCCAATGCTTCCAGGTTTTCAGTGGTGGTATAAAATTGACTGGTTCATGATTTCAATGAATTTACCGTATTAGTTCGTTAGTAAATTTTCAAGATCTATATTTAAAGGTAAGTAATTTCAGAAAATCTTATTATTATGATTGATATGATTATTAAGGGATGCTATTGTCTTACTGTTTTTCTTTCTACTTCATAAAATAGATTAACAAGATTTATCCAGTCTGTTTTTGTTTACCACACAAAGCTTATTGTTTAAACAATAATGATGGAATTTCTAACTGTATAGTCGCTGTTCGACCAATGGCTATTTGGAATGCAATGGATAAAATACGCCCATATCATGCTTTAATATTACTACTGCGTAAAAGTGATTTACTCAGAGATTATCTTCCAACTGACATTAATCCAACACTGAAAGAGTATGTCGTTTTTGTATTATATAATTGATACATTGAACGAAAAACGTTATGTGATATTTATATTTATGATGTAACTTTCATCATAAGTTAAGGTAGTTTTATGAAGGATTCCATATAATTTGAATGCGATTTTTATCATCACCCGACATCGATTAAGAAACTTAAGAATCATAAAGTCCTGATTAACTATTGCTTTCATTTGAGATCACTTATTTGCGTGCACCCATGACTTGATACGAAATTAAGCTCCGAGTTCCCACATGTTATGGTGAATACAAACTATTCAGTCACTTCAAGAAATGGTTGTCCACGTTATCGACTTCACTCAATTCACAGTATAGCACCATCCTTATCCCACCTAACTTGTGTAAAAATGAATATAACTCCCGAATATATGACCAAAAAATTATGATCAACACTTAATATAATACTTTTAACTTCTTATTCCTAGACACCAAAATGATATTTTCCAAAAATCATTTGTTTTATGATAATGATGAAGTACAATCCATTTTTTACAAATAACTTTCGATTTGTTATACTGTGATACGTACTGTGTTGATTTATAGTCTAGCCTATTTTAATATAGTATGCTAACCTAAATAGGAGTGGAATAAGAAAAACCTATATACGTTTATTTCTAGATATCATAGCAATTCATTTAGTATATAACTGTTGCCTGAACTTGTAAATAACTTAAGACTTTGTGGTATTAACATAGGTGCTTTTATTCACAGTCCTTAGTAAACACTCACTATTATACTTTATTTCTGTACGTCACCTTTCTGTATTTTTCCAATCATTTCAATAGATCTTGTTATCGTTCTTTCTCATTCTTTACGGTTCACTACGTTTCTTTTCTCCCTTTTACAGCTACCCAAAATGCAGCAACATAGATTAAATATCTTTAATTACATCAAATATTTCCAGTAAAAAACCCTTTGTGTCATTAAGTAAAATAAATACGGTTCAATAAAGAAAATTTCTTGTTACTTGGTTGGAAAGAGTCAACAGGAAAGCGTTGGCCCAGATTTTGTGCTATGTATCCTTTCTGAAATATACAATTCATATAGCGCAGGATAAGATTTGTGTTCTGGACTGGATGAGTTGAGCTAGGTGAGAAGCTACTACACAGAGTACCAATAAGGACTCGGACTTGACTGAAGGATATTGATGCTGGTTGACGTGTCATTGATTTAGCATAGACAAAAGGTCATAGAAGTCGGTATTCCAATTAGCGATTTTGTCACCTGATATTTAACGGGTAATAGGACTTAACAACTTGAAAAGTAGAACTACCTTAGATTTATAATCCAATATCGTTTGCAAAATAAAATGCCTAGATTATGATGTGTACAAGCAGCAAATATACATCTCAAGTTTTATCATTAATAAGTGAAGTTCCGACAAAATTTAAGATGTTTCAGGGGACATTGTTTTTGTGGTAGTACATTCTGCCTTCTCAATCCTTGAAATCAAGTCTGAGGCTTAAAATAATCAAAATGAAGTTCAAAAACTAATAGAACCTTATCATACAAGATTTCATGGAAATTACCGTAAAAGGGGTAAAATAAAACACCATCTAACGTACATTTGTGTACTCTCCCATAATCTAACAGCTAACCCACTTACAGTAAGAATCATACATATACAAACTTACAGTTTTGTCGCGTACACTTTGTATATAAAATCAAAATTCGATTCAGCATAAAAATGTTTCCACATATGCAACAAATTCTTTATGGTATAAATTTTTTCTGGTTGTTGCCTTAATAAATACTCTAGAATAGTTAAATTAAGAACCGTCTTTTTATAAATAGAAATTAACAGTAAAAGAATTTAAATGACATAGCTCAAAAGAGACAATGGAGGCGTATTTATTCTATTTTGTTTCAAGTGTTAAATATCGCGTTTATTTCTACTTTTCTATATCTAACTTTTTCTTCATTGGGTTTTCTTCGGCAACTTTTTGATTTCTTCTAATGCTGTTACAGTTCTTCTTCCACTTACTTAAAACTCTTATGTTTGTTCACTTTATTTGAGTGAATATAAAGTGTGGTTTCTTGAATAAATAAATATGTGTGACAGATTTTAATTTCTTTATGTATGTCATAATTTCGTAAAAATGTTTTTCTATATGATAAATATGAATACTTGAAGACTGTATGAATCTTCCGTGGATAGTTTAACAATATTAAGGTACCGGCAATCAAAAAATATCTTCTTTAATTTCATATTATTTCACTTTTTCATCATAACTAAAATATAAATTGATCCATCTATTATTACATATTACTTGTTTAACAAATATTATAAACATTACAGAAAAACAAAAGAAATCTAATAGGAATTATTTACCTTGTCAATGTTGCTCTTTGTGTAATTTTCAAACAATTAATAAATAGATAAGAGATCAGTTAGTTAAACAAAATATTCATTACATAATAATATTCTGTTTACAATATGGAATAATGAATAGCTTATAATTATTCATTACACTTTTTCTATTCTTTTAGAAACAATATCAATATGTAGTGCTAATATAGATATTTTTAAAATGTCATTTTGTTGTATAAATTGTCCTGGTTAATTTTAAAATGGTAAAATAATTGTTTATTTTGTATAATACATGTATTACATATATGTATATTGTCAAACTATGAATTATTTGTTTATGTTATGCAACTAATGAAGTGTCAATGCTCAATAGACTCAATTGAATTTGACAAGATTTAATTAAATATAAATAATTGTTCAATTATGTTTTTCCAGTTGTTTGACTTCTACTCATTTCAGTTATTCCTGATTTACTTTGTGATGTTTCATTTCCTTTCGATTTTCTTCTCATTGGTGATAAACAATGTAATTTCACTAAAATCATTCGACATATTAAAAACATATCACGACGTACCCTTGGTGAACTAAATATATACAAATAAAACCGTAATCCTACGCATGTCCAAAACATTATATTAATAGTATTATAAATAATATCTGTAACTGAACAAATATCACGTGCTGTAAGTACATTTTTAAAATTCGACATTGATAATTTAAATAAATTAATTGGCAATGCACCAATAATGTATACAATACTTGATACAATCATCATACGACATGCAAATATCACTTCCCACATAGCTGCTGTTGTCGGTGGCAGTTTCTTTTTATCTTTACGACTCATTGTTACAATAGATAATCCTTTATTAATTGTCATGTGTTCAGAGTGCATTTTTACTAATTGACGATGCATTAATATTAAGTTTCCAATACTTGTAGTCATTAATATAATGAATGGGATAAGACACTTAAAGATTAAATCAACAAGGAAAAATGTTTTGTCTGTATAACCTTCACTGCAAACATCTTGACTACCTGCAAGTAGAACTGAATTTTTACCAATTATAACTAAAGTACATATTATTAATACCAATACTGCTGGTTTAATTTGTTTTTTATTCATACCATAAGAGGATGTTGGTTTTGCTAATAACCAAAATCTTTCACCAGTCATTGCACACATAAACCATGCTGAGCTATCTTGACAACAGTATTCAGCAAATAATTGTAGTCGACAAAATATATCTGTATAAAATAATCTTATATCATATTGTTTTAAAGCAAGAATTGTATAACGTAGACAACTGATATTTTGACCAAGAAAATCTACTAATGCTAAACAAGCCATTAATAGTTGAGTTGATTCACGTAGATTACTTTGTTTTGGTTGAATATCACTACCTCCTGCACTTGAACAACTGTTATTACTTGTTCTTTCAGTTCTAGTTGTTGTAGTGGTTACTCTCACCGTTTTAGAACTTCTACGAAACATGAATAAATAAGTGTATGTCAATATACTTCCTGCACTGCCAAATATAATTGTGAAAAATCCAAAGATTGCAACAAATAAATTAGGCAATTCATATTCTAAACAAGCATTGTGCTGTGTTCCATCAAAATTGGAAGTTAAATTATTGTTGCTACTATTCATTGTCCTCCTTGAAGGTTGATATAGTATTCGATAGTTTATTTATTCAATCCTAGGAGAACTAATTAAAATAAGACCTATTTATATACTTGTATTTGTTTCCCCCCCTTCTTTGTCTACTGAACTGTAATTTTTGAAACTTCACTACATATTTATAATTTATAATCGTTTTTATTTTACTGTTACTGAATTATACGTTTATGCTTATGTGAGCACAACAAAAGGGTTAGAAATTTTGTTTGTATATGTTTCACTTTGATCGTGTTTACTGTTCAATTAACTTACATTATCAACACGCAAACTTTATTACGTTTCAAATGAAGCATTCTTAAAATGTTTTTTTTTTCATATAGAATCAAGCAAAATATACATTAAATTCAATGATATATTCATTTTTCAATTCTAATGCTTTTTGTTTTTATAAGAAGAATGTACAGTGTTAAATTTGTATAAATGAAGATGAAACAAAAAGGAACTTTATGTTTTGCATAGTGTCAATTACTTTTTTCTCCCATAATTAGCATTTATTTTAGCTTTAATTGTTTCTATGATATTTATTTTGTTATGTTTTTTTCTCATATCCCTTATTAATAAACAAAACTTACGAACCGTTAGAAAGAAAACGTAGAATCGTTTATATAGGAATTCAGTGTCATAGAAATTAAATTTAAAGTGTTTATTTATCAAAAAATATAGTATTTAAAATGTGAATATCTGTACAGTAGAGTGATTATTTATGTAGGACAATTAGATGGAAATTTAGTTATTTCTGAAGCTTATTCAGCAATTAATTTTACACTATATATGCAGTAGTATGTTGACACATACATTGATTTAACTTGCACTGTATTATTCTCAACTGTTTCAATTAATGTAAGATTATAAAACCATTAACTGACTTACCTTTCTTATTTTAGTCCATACATCTGACTCAAACACTGGTCAGTTGGTAGATGTTGGAAAGTTCTGATGTTCAAATTTGTGTTACATTTCACCATAATGTCTATTCGAT